TTTATTTGGAATAATATAAATCCGGATTCACATTCCCAGTTGAGATCGAAGGGAAACGAGCCCAGTGTAGACTTGAATCAGCGTCACCTCTGACTAATATTAGTATCAGTAATAGTACTAGTATAATTCAGCTGCATTGCCAGTTAGTTTAAGAAGTGATAGTAGCAGTCTCGGTCTTCATGTATCTGCCTTGACCGCAGCCGAAGTTGTAGGTAGTGCGGTAGTACTAGCGCAAATGTCTACTGTCACTTAAGACTAAATCACGCGGTTTTCTGGCCTGCATTGAATAAAGCAGCCAAGGCCGGGTACTGCTTCGGTCCTTCGGACTCGGGGTGTAGGTGGAGAGTGCGGTAGACCGTGTGCCACGTCTACAATAAGTTAAAGCTAACCCCAGTCGCCAGTAACCTTCCTTGCACCAAACCATTTGGTGGACTTAATCGAAATCGATGATCGAGCAATCAAATTCAATGCATGTTTGTGTTTTCAGTCCATAGGCGAAATAAGCCCGGGCAGGACGAAGTGCTTATGACCCACTTGACAACAGAGCCCGTCTGTCGGATGTACATACGGGGCCGTTTGTGTCCTGGCACCCAAATGATAGTGTTCGGGGTGGTGAGCGATTTAATGCATTTAAAATAAGTCTAAAACAGTGCGGTATCCTAACGAAATCTCCGTAAGGAATGGTTGGATCGATAGGTGCCTAAACGAAGAAGCGTGAGACGAGTAATAAAATCTGTCTGAATTGAGTACGTTTACCAACCAGCAGATTCCTAATCTAAAGACCTGAATCCGGTCAGCGGGGAGGGGGAGGGGGCACAAAAGTAACAAAATGAGAGGTCGACCTGCAAACAAGGAAACAACAACAACCTCAATAGCCGACACGACCGGTGGGAGAGCCACACCCTTTGTCTCGCGGACACAGCATTTGAGAAGCTCGTCAGTTAGGGATAGAGATGCTTTCGAGGAGTGTTGCAGTTCAGTGAGCAGAGAGGTCTGGTCCGCAAAAGAGGACTAGTAAGGGAAGGAAAAATAGCGAGTTATATGGTGGCAACATAGGAGGGAAGGAACACAAAGTCTGATTGCTCGGACTGGCAAGCGATCAGAATTATCCCCGCCAACACAAAGCTGATTCATCCTGAAAAAATGAGTGTACATAATAGATGCGCCAGACAGCACTTGAAAGAACGGGAAACACCTGGATAAACCAAAATTACCAACACAGAGAAGGATATAACTGATCATGCCTGACTTACCGCTACGCTTAAATACGCCTACAATTGTTATTTTTACCAAAACGAGAAGTTATCAAGTTAACCTATATTCAGGCATGCACATTTAATATCAACATTTGAAAAGCAGTGGATCATTTTTTGTCAGAAAAGATATATTTGGTTAGGAAAATGCAAGTAGTATTTTAGCTGGGCTGTACGAAAAAATCGCGAATACTAAGCCGAGAAAGGATGACTTGTATGGCCCACAAAATAAGGCCTTCTTAGAATTATGCAAAGGGCCACCTCGGGCGGGGCTTCCCGATTACCGTTTTCTAATTATAGGGCTGTATAGCTTAGCCATAGACTGAATCGTGATGATGACGATGGTGTGGTCGACAGCCGCAATGCTGTCCGGCTTTCACGTGCAATTCCCAACTGCCCCAACGTCAGGCTAACCGACAGGCGCTCTGAAGGTCTTCAAGGCTCTCGCGGGCACATCCTGGGGACTTAAATGCGCTGGCCAAGCCGCATCTCACCTATGCGGCACCAGTCTGGTCTCCCACAATTAGCTCTTCCAGCATCCGCCGCCTTCAGTCAGCACAGAACGGTGCTCTCCGCACGATCACGGGCTG